GAGACAAATGGCTGGTGGATACCAAGATGGATAGCTCACATTTTGAGTAATCCTTTTTGTAACTCTCTGATTTTAACAGGTACTTGTAGTACTGAAGGAGCGTGGAGGCCAGCATGCACTTTGGTATGCTAATAGGCACCATAGGTAGCCGTTTGTTATTTTTAACAGTGACCAGGAAAATGGCTCCTTTGGTAGATCGGAACTAGTTTCTTTGGATCTAACATCCTAGCCTTTTGTTAATGATAAGGGGCACCGTAGTCTCTCTTGTAACTGCTTCTCGGCTGAGATAGGACATTGTTGTTAGGGCCCAGGAAGGCTGGAGTGCTAGTCAAAGGCCAGGAAGGGACAAGTTACATCTGGTTCGCTGTCCAGGTACTGTGGACCACCTGGGGCTAGTGAAGTTCAGGTAGCTTTGGAGCAGTCTGGAATGCTGGTCCGAAGCTGGGGCTCAAGCTGCTAGGAAATTTTGTCAGAAGCATTTGGTTTACATTAGCTTTCAGCAAGTCCAGGGCCTGCTAGTTTCAAAGGACCACCTGAGGCTGGTGTGTTTGGAGCAGTTTGTAGTCTTTAGTTAATTGGAAATCTAGACTAGAAACAGAAGGTAAAGTTAAGGAGCTTAGGGGAAAATCTTAACTCCATTGATTAATGTAAAAACTTTGAGCTTTTTGAAGTCTTAATATAATAATAGCAAAGCGAGAGGGAAAGAAATCTGAAACATTTTTCATTGTTTTATGTGTACCTTGAATCATTCTCTTAGATCTTTGTAACTTGCATTTACATACCTTAAATCACTTTCTCAGACCCTCACAACTTACCTAAGCTTTCATATGCTCAGACCTTTATATACTTTAAATTACTCTCGTAGACCCTCCATAACTTATTTTCTATAAGCTTTTCTATCCTTAGACCTTTATAGCTTGCATCCTAAATCTTTTCCTAGACCTTTGTAAATGCCATTTTTTTCCTAATTATTTACCATGCTACGTAGGCGGTTGATTACTGAGAGCAGTCATTGCTACAGTGAGCCATCAATATCATCAGAGATCTCAGAAAGATAAATCTGAGCAGGAAGTATAATCCAGATGGCTTCTGTATCAATTAAAATAACAGACATTTCCTAAGTGGTTCCCTAGGCTCCTTCATGGTGGCCTCGGGGGCAGAAGTCATTGGTCTTCGGCAGTCACACAGGACAGCATTAAATTAAGCCTTTCATTGCCACACAGGGCAGCTTTAGCATTCAGCTGCCAGACACAGAAGACCTGAGATTTTGTAGATGAAGAGCTTGAGAGATTGGCCTACCTTGGGAAGCAAAGAGAGACAGTTCTTCCCTGTCCTGCTTGTCCACGGTTTGGGTCGGGTCCTGATGGCATGTGAGGCATGTGGCAGTTCTTTGCCAGCGGTTAGCATTACCATAATTAAAGTGGAGTCATTTGTGACCCGTTGTCTTATTTGGAGGAGACCTTAGGGTTGCTTCTAGGGGTTGGCAGCTAGCAGTTTTCTCTATCATGGGAAGCTTTTTTTTTTTTTTCCCAGGGTTTTCCTGTGTGGTCCTGGATGTCCTGGAAATCATTTTGTAGACCAGGCTGGCCTTGAACTCAGAGATCTGCCTGCCTTTGACTCCCAAGTGCTAGGATTAAAGGTGTGCACCTCCACACTTGACCACATGTTTTGGGTTTTTTTTCTAACTTTCTTTTTATTTATTCAGTGTGTCTTTCACATCTTGATCCCATTCATTTCCCTGTCCCATCACATCTGCCCTCTGTTCCTGTAAACCCCGCCCCCAAATAGAACAAAATCTAAGAGAAGAAAAGAAAAGGAAAAAAAAAAATCTCATCATGGAAGCTGCAGCGTGACACCGTGACACAGTGACACACGCCATGAACCCCTTTGTCCACATTTCTTTACTTGCGAGTGTTCATTGCAAAGAGTCATTGGTCTGTTCCAGGACTCTGGTTTCTGCTATACCATCGACAGCTGGGCCCTCACTGAGACTCTTCTTGGATACCCTGTTGTTGCCCTGTGTTGTGGAGATCCTGCAACCTTGGGTCTGCTGGTCAGGCCCCTTCACATGCTCCAGCAGATCACAGATGGGATGGATGTTGGGGTGGGCTAATTCATAATCTTGGTTCTGGGTCTGGGCAGCTATAGGGTTGGTCAGCCCGCCAGTTCTCCCCGTCCTCACCACTAGGGTGAGCTCTTCAGCATTGGCCCAGCTAATTCACCTCCTGTAGCAATGAGCCAGGGGCAGGGCCAGTTCTCCTGCTTTCACTTCCTCAGGGGCGGCTCTCCCCGACCGACCGAGACCATCAGGGCCAGCTCACTGTGTTGCTCAGGCAGGTGCAGGGGCCACTCTCCCGAGTGCTGCAGCCCATGCCACCACATGTCAGCTCTCCTTTGGGGAGATATGTAGGGACAGCTCTCTCTAGTTCACAGCCTCAGGCTGGGTCACCACACCTCCAGTAACAGGGCCACCTCTGCTGTGCTGCCTAGGCAAGGGGCAGGCCCCGCCTCCCTGCGTGCTGAGGCTGGCGAGGGGGAGGGTCATCGTGCTCATTTGTTGCAGACAGTAAGGGCTGGGCACTAAGGGAGGAGCCCTCCCCCACCCACGACGCCGCCGCGTGACAGCAGTGAGGACAGCTCTCCCATGCTTACAGCTTCAGGGCCGGCTCACCCACACCTCTGCCAACAGAGTTGGCTCTATTGTGTTGCCCAGGCAAAGTGCAGGGCCGGCTCTTCCGCTCTTGGGACCTCAGGGCCTGCTCTCCCACCTGCCTCAGGCATTGGTGGTGGGTGGGTGGGTGGGGGGAGCATATATTGTTTTTAATCTAAAATTTTTAGGATAAAAATCCACCCTAATCCAAAGTATCTTGGAGATCTGTTGTCTCCTTAGTCTAAAAAGGAGGTAACAAGAGTTGATTTCGAGTTACGTAAAAGCATGCACTAGCAAATCAAGATTACCTGGGTATAGGTTTTTAACTATTAACCTCTATGTTACAAGTTTTAGACTAATTTTTTTTCCTTGGAATTTTACAGGTTCTTCTGGTCCCTCACCTCCACCCCCCGGCAATGGTTTTACAGATCCCAAGAGAAAGAGTTTTGAATACCCATGACCTTGAATGGGGGAACATTTTTTGTAAACAAGAACCAAGAAAGCGGGAACAGGTCAAAGAGCTGGACATTTTTATTTGCATGTAGCCATCCTAATTTTATAGGAATCCTTTTTTGATTACAACACTTAAATAACATGACAGTAACAAATAAACTTACCATTTGTTGTAAGAAAATTTTCCTGAGGGGGTGTGAGACAATATCTGGAGTCTTTACCCAGAATATATAACAGTATTCTCATTGTTGCATAGGTGGACCCCCTCCTTAGTCTTAGTTTTTAGCTTATATATATTTTTTAAAGATTTATTTATTTTTTATGTATATAGTGTTCTTCTCTGCATGTATGCTTATAGGCCAGAAGAGGACACCAGATCTCATTCTGGATGGTTGTGAACCACCATGTAGTTGCTGGGAGTTGAACTCAGGACCTCTGGAAGAGCAGACAGTGCTCTTAACTGCTGAGCCATCTCTCCAGTTCCCAGTTTTTAGCCTATATACCACAGTTTCTCCAGAAAACTTTAAGACCTCATGCAGTGATGGCCTATTTGCATAGGACCAGCTGGGGGAGGCGACTGGGTGCTCAATTGAAGGTTTGATGACTTTGCCCATCTCCTTTATTTGAAGGAATACTAACTTGAAGGAGTCCAAGTCTGATCATTTTAATCAGGCATATCTGGAGTTATTACTAAAAGACTTTAGACAGGGTTTGATTTTATCACCATTTTGTGTGTCTGCAGATGGAGGCAGATAACCTGAAAAGCTTAGTAAGTATCTTTTCTTATGCGGTCATTCAGTTGCAGAATAATGTGAGTATCTGTAATCTGGAGGTCATTAAACAGAAGACTATAAAAACGACATCTTTATAGGAACTCAGAAAATGGTGGCATCAGGTTGTTTTGTTTTCTTTATGGATTTTTGTTTTATGGATTTTTAACCATATCAAGCTTACAAATCTTAAAGTACAGAAAGTTTATATTTTAGCTGTTTTAAAGCACACAGTACATTTCTTGGGCTGTTTCATTTGGTTTTTTTCTTTTTGT